ACATAATATAACGTATATAGTGAACGGTTTATTATTGATTGCAACAGCAATATGAGAATTAACGGTACTATTTTATCCCAATACCAAATGATTAACTCTTAACTAAGTCACTTTTCTAGTCTATAAAGGTGCAAAAATGTTTTTCTTTCAGTTATTTTAGCTTTGGGAGTGTGTGTGTGTAAAAATGGGTTGGGCACCTTGGTGGCTCAGTCGTTAAGCCTCTGCCTTCAGCTCAGGTCATATTTCCAGGGTCCTGGAATCGAGTCCTGCATTGGGCTCCCTGCTCAGCAGGGAGTCTGCTTCTCCCTTTGCCCCTCCCCCTGCTTGTGTGCACTCTCTCTCTCTCTCTCAAATAGTTGAATAAAATCTTTTAAAAAAATAAAAATGGGTTGCAGTAGCTTTCTGATCACACTTCCACAGACTAAGGGGAATCCTTAATGTGGTTCCCTAATTTTTTTTTAAACTTTTTTACTCTCATTATAAAATATAGCTGGTTTCACAAACAGAATAAAAATTTTCAGTTTGAGTTTCAAGGTACTGTAGAAAATGTAAGGCTGTTTCTAGCCCTGTCAATATTGACATGTAATTAATACTACTGTTAAGTATTACTGTTGTTAAGGACCTCAGAGAATAGCGTAGGAATTGAATTTAGGTAATTACAGTATTCTCTGTTTGAAAATAATATTGCTGAGAGATACAAGAAAATTTATGTGGGTAAAAATACTTTTGATTATTGAGAGCTTTTATTAATGAATATACATTCACTGCCTATATACCCAATAATTAAAGTTGGGTATACATTCTGTGTGTGTGTGTGTTTTAAATAAGCTCTGCACCCAATGTGGAGCTTGAACTCATGACTCTGAGATCGAATTGCATGCTCTGGGGTGCCTGGGTGGCTCAGTGGGTTAAGTGTCTGCCTTCAGCTCAGGTCATTATCTCAGGGTCCTGAGATCTAGTCGGCTCCCTACTCAGCGGGGAGTTTGCTTCTCCCTCTCCCTCTGCCACTCCCCCTGCTTGTGCTCTCTTTTAAATAAATAAAATCTTAAAAAAAAAAAATCACACGCTCTACCAACTGAGCCAGCCAGGTGCCCCTAAAGTTGGGTATACATTTGACTGAGCTTCCTAACAACCTGAAATAAATTGCCTAAGAGAAACTTTTTCATCTTTTCAGGTACTGGGGTCTTAAATTTCCCCCATGATCTCTCCTTGGGGAGCATTGGATGAAATGATCACTGTTCTCAAAGACATTCTTAAATATAATTGAGAATTTTACATGACCAATTCATAATACGTGATCTTGTTGATCTCTTCTGTGTTGAAATACATACTCTTGGCTTCACTGAAATCACACTGGCCTCTGTTTTCTTGAGATTGACCACTCAGAGGGCACTTGAGAAGTATAGCTCCATTTACCCAGGGTTTTATTGAGTGTCTGTGGTGTGCCCAGCACTCAGCTGTGTGCATCAGAGTTGCAGATTTAATAAAATGTGGTTCCTACCTGAAGGTTTTGAATAGTAATGGACAGGAATGGTGGTGGCATTTTAGGCATCAGTGGAGGAATGGTATAAACTGTGTAACACTGGGGAGGAGAGGACAGAAAGAAGACTACAGTAATATTTATGAAGGGAATAATCCTAAATTAATAAGTTTCAGTAAGAATAGGGAAGGAGAGACTTACTCTGGAGATAATTGGGAGTTGAAATGGAAGGGACATAATGAGTGATTGTGGTAGTTGAAGGAGAAAGAGTAGTTAAGAAGCCTCCTAAGTTTCTGTCTTGGGGGACCAGATAGATGTACTTTCTTCTATTCTTAAATCATGATGATGACATGTATTGCATTCAAAAATTTTTGTTAGGTATATAACGTAATGAATAATACACCCATATTATGAATGATTGTTGAATAGATTTAAATTTATATGTACTTTATAAGAAAAACCTAAATTGTACCTTTTGTTATTTTTCTTTTCAAGTTGAAATGTTCTTAGCCATGTCTCTAATAAGTAATTACTAAGGTGAAACTTATGGCTAGGACGTATTAAGAGAGAGTGTAACTTTACTGTTTTGGGAGGCGAAGGGGTTATAACTACAACAATATACAAGGTGTGATTTAAGAGTTTTGTTTCATCTTTCATAGCCATTTGTTGTGCATGATGCTAGGTACTGTTTGTAGTTTAAGAATACAAAGGTAAATAACACAGAGTTGTTACTCTTAAGGAGCTCAGACACCAGTAATGGACATAGACGTGTTAACTGATGATTATGGTTGTACAGTGTGTAAATGTAAGTGCTGTAATAGAGATAGACACAAAAGAGGGGACCTAATCTCCGAGGGTAAGGAGGAGGAGATGGGCATAGGGAAGGCTTCCAGAGTTGATTTCCAAAGTGATTTTGGAAGTTTGTACCTTTTGACCCCTCATCCATTTTGCTCACCCCCTACCTTGTCCTCTTTTTTAATATTTTTATATAGGGTTGAAAGTTTGAAAAGTAGTAAAAAAGAGGACAAGGTAGGGGGTGAGCAAAATGGATGAAGGGTCAAAAGGTACAAACTTCCAGTTACAAAATAAATAAGTCATGGGAATGTACTGTATATAGCATGGCAACTATAATAATACTGTATTGCATATTTAAAAGTTGCTAAGAGAGTAAATCTCAAAAGTCCTCATCACAAGAAAAAAATTTGTAACTATGGTGATGGATGTTAACTAGACTTATTATCATTTTGCAAAATATACAATTATTGAATCATTATACTGTATACCTGAAACTAATGTAATGTTATATGTCAGTTGTACTTTAGTTAAAAAAAGACAACAAATACCTAAGGTTTATCAGTTGCTAACATTTTGTCATGTTTACTTTATTTCTATCATGTATGATAGAAATATATATGATATATATCGAATATTTTTGAGAACCACTTGCAAGTAAACTGTTGACAAAATGACACAGCTCTTAAATATTTTAACATGCATGTCATAAAGGGGGACATGCCCCTCTAAAACAATTTTACAATCATGTTTAAGAAAATCAGCATTAATTCAATAATATCCAGATACACAGTCCATATCCAGACTTTACCAACTGTTCCAGAAAATGTGTCGTCACTTTTTTCCCCAATCCAGAACGGTCCCTTCCTTTTTTTGTTTTGTTTTTCATGATATTAACTTACTTGAAGATACCAGTTATAAAGAGTTTCACATTCTGGATTTACCTGATAATTCCCTCATGATTAGATTAAGGGTCAGCATTTTTAGTGAATACTACATAGGTGATGTTTATTTCTCAGAGATATATGTCAAGTTGTCGAAATTTATTGATGTTAAGTTTAATCATTGGTTGAGATTGTGATTACCAGATCTACAGGATAGGTACTCTATCCTGGAGTCCCAGCTATTTTTCACTCAATAGTTTTAGTATCCATTGTTGATCCTTGCCTGAATTGTACTGAGGGTTGCAAAATGGTAATTTTCTAATTCTGTCATTCTTTCTGCATTTATGTACCTGGGAATGGTAAAGAGCATCCCCTCCCCATCATCCCATCCCCCCAGCATATTGCTATGGACTCATGGATTTTTTTAATTTAATTCAGTGTGTCATTCTTTGTGATTCTTAAGTTATTCCAGATTTGGCGAGTGGAAACACCTTAAAGCCAGTTTTTGTACCTTTTGACATGTTTTCGGGCGTTATAAAAAGGAATCCCAAACTTACCTATTAACTTCCTTATTCCAGATCTGAGATCAGCCATTTCTTCAGGGAGCCATTGTTCCTTTTAATGGAGAATGGTATTTTAACTAATTAAGGTTTTTTAATTAAGTATATATCAGGCCAACTAGTAGGTTCAAAAGATGGCAGAAAGACAGATGAGGAACAGCATGTTTGATGAATAGAAAATTTTAAGCAATTTCAAAACAAGTAAATTAGGACTGAATAAAAATGAAGATATTGTGGATTGCTCTTCACCGTTATTTTTTACGAGGAAATGTGTATAAGAGAGTACTTCAAGCTGCATGACTGACATGAGTGAATCATCCCAGTGAATTTAAACTTAAATAATTAAAAATATTTGTTTTAAAACAAATATATCACACAAAATCGTAACAATTTTTTATAATAAAGCTATGTCAAGATTATAGCAGGTGGTGCCTCTTAAATAGGACAGCAGAGTATGCATAAACTCTCTTCTGGGATGGTTTGATGTCATTTAAAAAAAAGAATACATAATGACATTATCACCCACGAGGCTAGATTTTTATCAGGATCAAGAGAGTAGAAGCAAGAAGAACCTGATAGAAGAATATTGCCATTGTATAGGTAAGAAATGATAATGCGAATATCTGAGGTAATAGGGAAGGAGATGTTCGCTTATATATGTTTTCTGAGTCTTCTAAACAAAAGCTAAAATTTAACCCCTCTCTCCACCACCAAAAGGGAAGGAAGAAAAAAAGAAAATTGGGAAAACTAAAAACTACAACATTCCTCTTTGTACATATTTACATTTGTCCTCTCTTTAAAAATAAAAATTTTATATTGATGATAGGCAAATGTTAGTGATGCTTATAATTTGGTCCATTTTTTATTTATGTATGACTTACCATTTTTTATGTTTAGAAGTTTTAAATTCCAGGCTGGTATCTTCCTGCTCCCCAACTTGCTTTCGCATTGTTGGTGCTGTATTTTGGAAGATTGTGAAATAGACCTAATAAAAATTAGCCCAAGGAAAAATCAGGAAAGTAAATATCCTCCTGAAACTATAATACATTTTCATAGCAAATAGAATTTTTTTTGTATTAACTTCTGTTTAAGATTATCTGCAAATTCAAGAATTGAGAGAACAAGACAGCATAAATTGAGATTTAAAGAGGAAGTTTACCATTTCTTATAGATATGGTATTAGATGTTTTGAATTGTGTCTTAAGTGGCAAACTTTCTGAAGTTTCTGTATTTATGGAAATAGCATGTGAGAAGTATTTAGACAGCATCTGTTTTTGTTTTTAGACTGGGCTGGTTTAGATGAAGATGAAGATGCACATGTCTGGGAGGATAATTGGGATGATGACAATGTAGAGGATGACTTCTCCAATCAGTTACGGTAAGTTTTAAGTCAGATTTTATATAGCTTAGTATTAATTGTAAGAATGGAATATGTAACTTACATATGATAATTGACCTCTTTAAAAGATAATCTTTGAAATACATTTTTGAATTATGAAAAGGAAAACCTTTTACCTTCATCTGTGTTTCTAAACATGAGTACTTTGTGTAATTGCATAGAACTTTTATTCTTTCTAGTTTCTTTACAAAGGTAGTTAAATAGAAGCATATTTGCTGTTTTTTATTTTAGTGGGTTTAATTCTGTCAACATTAATTTTCCACCAGTGTTGAATAACTCAACAGAAATTGGAAGCAGAGTGCTAGGACCCAAAAGATTGGTGATTCTCAAACTGGAATGGAGATTGGGGTGATGGGAGTGTACTTTTTCATATTCATGTACAAATTTACCTAATATGATTGATTAAAGTAAAATTCATATATCATAAAATTAATCACTTTAAAGTGTACAATTCAGTGGCATTTTGTATAGTCACAATTTTGTGCAGCCATCATCTCTATGTAATTCCAAAGCATTTCCATCACTCCAAAAGGAAGCACCATACCTATTAAGCAGTCACTCTGCAGTCTTCTTTTCCTGGCCCCTGGCACCCACTAATTTTCTTTCTGTCTATAGATTTGCCTGTTTTAGAGAAGTCATAAAAATGGAATCATATAATAAGTGATCTTGTGTGTCTAGCTTCTTACAGTTAGCATAATATTCTCACTTTTCATCCATGCCACAGCATGTACCATACTTCATTCCTTTTAACGGCTGAATAATATTCCATTGTGTGATATGCCACAGTTTGTTTATCCATTCATCAGTTGATGGTCATTTGGGTTGTTTCCAGCTTTTGACTACTGTGAACTGTGTTACTATGAGCATTCATGTACAAGTTTTTGTTTGAATACCTATTTCTAGCTTTGGGGATATAATCCTAGGAGTGGAATTTCTGGGTCATATCATAATTCTGTTAACTTTCTGCAGAACTGCCAAACTGTTTTCCACAGCAGCTGCACAATTTTACATTACTACCAATAGTGTATGAAGGTTCTAAATTGTCCACATTCTCATCAAAACTTGGACTGGTATCTCATTGTGGTTTTTATTTGCATTTCCCTAATGACTAGTGGAGAGCCTTTTTTCACATATTTGTTGACAATTTGTATATCTTCTTTCAAGAAATAATCTAGTCAAGTCCTTTACCCATTTTTAAGTTGGGTTGATTATTTTTTTGTTATTGAGTTGTCAGAGTTCTTTATATATTCTGAGTACTAAGCTCTTATCAGACCTATTATTTACAGATAGTTTTTCCCATTCTGTTCACTTCCCTTTTCACTTTCCTCATAGTGTTCTTTGCACATAACTTTTTAATTCAGATGAAGTCCAGTTTATCTACTTTTTAAGAATTTATTGCCAAATTCAAGGAAAATTTATCCCTATGTTTTCTTCTAACAGTTTTAGAACTTTAGTTCTTACATTTAGGTCTAAGATCCATTTCAAATTAATATTTGTACATTGTTTGAAATGAGTCCAACTTCATTCTTTTGCAAATGGGTATCCAGTTATACCAGTGCCATTTGTTGTAGAGATAATTCTTTCCTCCCTAATTTTATTTTGTTTCAACCCATATGTATCTGTCTTGGCCACAGAGTTATCTAAGTAAATTGTCGTACTTTGCTCAAATCAAGATCTAGCAGTTCTACTGCAGTCTTCTAGTTTTCTAGTCTAGTACATTTGTTCAAAAAGAAAGATGATTTATAATAAATTTAATGATAATGCAGTACCTTTTGTTCTACACTGCGTTTTTCACGGGCTCAAAGGCCCTACATTCTTTTTTTTTTTTTTTTTTAAAGATTTTTTAAATTTATTTGACAGAGAGAGACACAGCAAGAGAGGGAACACAAGCAGGAGGAGTGGGAGAGGGAGAAGCAGGCTTCCCACTGAGCAGGGAGCCCGATGCGGGGCTCGATCCCAGGACCCTGGGATCATGACCTGAGCCGAAGGCAGACGCTTAACGACTGAGCCACCCAGGCACCCCCAAAGGCCCTACATTCTAAAGACATTTTAGTATTTTTCTGGGGACCAATAACAATTTTATCTATCACCTTTCTCCCCTTTTTGGAAATAGCACAATTTACCTTTCACTGTTATTCTGGTACTTTTACAATTCTCCATGATTTCTCAAAATGGCTGACTCTGTTTTTTGACTATATCTTTTCATTTTTTCAGTGCCCTGAGATGTAATTATTCAGAGCCTAGAGGTTTTAAACTACTTTAATGCAGTTTAGAGTTCTCTCACCTGTCTTACTTTTCAATTTTGTGTTAATGATGTTTTTCCTATTGCCGTTTTATGAACAAGATAGGAACAATAGCTGTTGAACAATAATTCCGCTTTTTCTCTAAATCTGTTAATACTACATCTATTCCAAGCATTGGATCTGTTCTCACTCTTCTTTATTCATGTATGGCTCTCAGAGCCTTTTTTGTTCTTTCTATAGCTCTTAGTCCATTCTGGGATTAAATTCTGTGTGTACAAATTCTTGGCACTTTTCTTTTTGTATTAATTTTTGGTTTATATTCTTTTAAAACTGAGCAATGTCAGAGAACACCCTACCTTTTCTCTCTCTCTCTCTCTTTTTTTTTAGTAGGCATGCCCCCCTTTCTTCCCTCACTAGAATCATATTATGCTGTTAGAATATTTTCAGGCCTTCGAACTCTGTTGATCCCCATTCTGAGTTCTTAATCATCTATCAGTTTTTTCTTTCCTGTTATCTTGAAATTTTTCAAGTTGAAGCTAAATGAGTTATCTTCCTTTGCTATTCACAAAAAAGTCAAATTTCTTCAAAATGGTTTTCTTTTTTGTCTTTCAAAGTCAGAAAATAGCACTTTTCTCTTAAAAAATTAAACTAAGACATTATTAAATACTGGGTCATCTGGGTGGCTCAGTCTGTTAAGCATTAGACTTTGGCTGGGGTCATGATCACAGGGTCCTGGGATTGAGCCCCACATTCGGGCTCTCCACTCAGCGGGTAGCCTGCTTCTCCCTCTCTCCCTGTTCATGCGTGCGTGCGCTCGCTCGCTCATAATAAATAAAATCTTTTTTCTTTAAAGACATTATTAAATACAGTGATCTTATCAGGAGACTTTTAGTAGTAAATATATTGATAATTGGATTTCTTGCCACTACTGCATCTTGTCTTTTTGCTGGTTTGGAAGTAGAGCATTATTCATATATTATTTGTGGCTTGTTGTTTATACAATACACCTGCACAGTGTTCTTATGTTCTTTCTTGTGTTCTGCCTTTAGGTTTGTGGATTTCCATAAGAGTATAAATTTTGATACCTTTATTAGTGAATAAGATTTTTCTTTTTATTTCCCTGTTTGAGTCATGAGTTTCTTTCTACATGTGGGTTGATATATCACCAGTGCTATAAACTAGAACTTACTGTATTGGTGGAAATGTTCTATAAACTGCCCTATCCAGTACAGAAGCCAGTAGCCACATACGGCTCTTGAGCACATGAAATGTAGCTAGTGAAGCTGATGAACTGAATTTTTCATTTTATTTAATTTTAATAAATAGCCACAAGTGACTCCTGTATTGGACATTGCAGCCTCAGATAATACTTTTATCTTTGCTTTAAAAAAAGTTGTCATGATTAACAAGTCTCCTGCAAAGATGTTCTTCCTAGTCTTTGTAAAACATATAGAGGTCCTCAATGTGATATTATAAACCATGGTAAAGCATATGTTTTACTGTGTTCTGATACTGTATATGGGTCCAAATTCCATCTAACTTTGGAGAGGCAGTACATTTTCTAGAGTCACTCTGATTCCCCGGGTTCCAACTCTGGATCTCCCTTTTATTAGCTACATGTCTTAGCAAGGACTTAGCCTTCCACTTTCCATGTTTTTCTCTTAAGCTGTAATTACCTTTAACAAGTAAAAGTAGAAAGAAAAAGGCCACCTGTATCTCCAAGTAACTAAAAGTCAAAGAGAAACAAATGTATCAGAAGCAGCAAAAACAATGACTTTTACTTCTTGGAGTTACTTGGAGACACATTCAGTAGAAATGGGTAGGATTAATTTTTCTGACCTTGCATCACATGTTACATAAAAAAATCCAAGAAGCCAATATTGTTCTTGATTTACCATGTCAAATACAGCCACTGTCCTATAGCAGAATAGTTTCTTGGATAATAAGAGTTCTCAAACCTACCAGTGGCTATTTGTCTTATCCTTGTTTTGTTGAAAAAGGAAAGCTGCTGTTTTTGTTTCAAATCGTGTACATTCACTATGTGGGTCCTGTGATACTGTTCCAATTGTGCTGAATTTCTTTCTCATCTCTTTCTTAGGTTTTTTTCATCCCACAGGCTGATGATGATACTAGTGTGTTTGTATTGTTTTGTGTTTTGTACTTAGTGGCCTCGATTTATTTCCTTTTAATTTTTTTGTATGTCCTAAATTCTAGCAAAAAAACTTCATCTTCTCCAAAAATAGAGAAGCATATCATAATCTCCTTTGTGTTTGTTAACAGTTTATAAATGTAATTGGTCACCACCTCCTGTCAGGAAGGCAGATGCAAACCTGGACAGATCTGGTGTACTTGTTAACTAAATTGTAGGCTGATTTTCGGGGATTTTTGTTGTTGTTGTAAAATAAGAGAAAATGAATAATCTACATTGATTCTGTTAAAGGCAGCAGAAAGCTATTATTTAAGAAACTTTTAAAATTATTTCCTTTTTAAGTAGAAAACATGAACAGATAAAATCTTTAATCTCCTGGAAAGGGGGCCGGGGGGTGTGTAAAGGAAGCATTTTGGTTAAATTTAGCAAAGGAAGGAGTAGTGTCAGAAACTTGTGCTGATCTTTTGACTCCTAAATGAGTGATTTACCACCAGCCCATACTATCCTCTACACCTGAGCAGAAGATAAAAATGTTTTATATGAATAATCTCTGGCTTTAATATTATTCATGGACTTTAGGTCAGTATTTGTATTATAAATAACTGTAAAACTTTAGTGACATTTGGGTAAATAAATAATAAATATTATACATCATTCCTACATGTGTTTTTTTGTGTTGTGTTTACATTGGATAGTGTGATAGTGTCCAAGCTAAATTATACTTGAGAACAAATGTCATTTTATCTTATTGGATGTAATGGTGTAGGGCACATTAATTATACTTTACATTTATACAATGTTTTATCATATTTTGGCCCTGAAATAATTTTGTTGTGAACTTCTATAAAATTGAATTGTAGCAGAGAAGTTATTGATGATACTTGGAGTGGTAGTTCAGCTGAAATTGATGATAGGGCTAAACTTTTTTGTGCATCGGTTTTATACAAAGCATATCAAAAATTGCAATTGATATTCTTAAAGTATGACTGAAACTTCAGCTTGAATAAATTACTTAAAATTATAAAATGTCTTTTTAAAGGGTATATATTTATAAGTTTTTGGAGGTTTTTATACACATTTAAAATTTTTTTTTTTAAGATTTTATTTATTCATTTGAGACACAGAGATAGAGAGCATAAGCAGGGAGAGAGGCAGAGGGAGAGGGAGAAGCAGGCTCCCAGCCGAGCCAGGAGCCCGATGCGGGGCTCGATCCCAGGACCCTGGGATCATGACCTGAGCCGAAGGCAGATGCCCAACCATCTGAGCCACCCAGGCGCCCCCACATTTAAAATTTTTAAAGTAAAATCTTGTTTAGTATTTTATAACTTATATTTATTTTGTCTACATATAGTTAATGGGGAGTAGTTCCCATGTACTTTTAAATTTGATTAATAATTTTTGTCTTGGTCAGAGCAGTAGATCTATGTCAATATGGAAAGCAGTCTGTTTATTCTTTATGTGTAAATAGCAATAATACCTATTATGATTATAAAATTCCTAAAAATTTGATAACAAATGTCTTGTTTTCTTAGCCATATGGTTGATAATTCTTAAAATTTGTTTAAATATTTATTATGAACAGGACATTTATTTGTATGGTATTTCAAAGATACTTGGAAGATAGTGGTTAATCTCTCACATTTCTTCCTTAAATAGATTTATCAGAAAAGTAAGGAATATAAAATATAAGTTTACTAATGGGAAAGCAGAATTTTATTAGCATTATGTTGATTCACATTTGGTTTCCTTCTTACACAGATTTCTTTTAAGGGTATAAAGTAAAAGCTACTTGGTAGTATTTTATATTGGTGCCTAGGCTTGGCTCATTGTTTTATTAATTGTATTATATCTAAAAACATTGTTTCTTTATCATGAAGAATGTCCAGTGATGTTGTTCTTTTGTGTTTTATTATAGAGCTGAACTAGAGAAACATGGTTATAAGATGGAGACCTCATAGCATCCAGAAGAAGTGTTGAAGCAACCTAAACTTGAACTGTTTACTAAATTCTAGGGCACAGAACCCAGGATGGGACACTTAAAAAAAAAATGTTTATTTCATTACCTGCTTGGATTTATTTTTGTTTTTGTAACACAAAAAATAAATGTTTTGATCTAATCTTGGTTTGGTTCAGAAGTCTCGATCTTTTGCTTCTCCCGTCATTAATTTTCTCAGACTGCTTATGATTTTCTAGGACTTTATTATATAGAGACAGTAAATTCATCTGATCCCCAATTCAGTACTTTTTTTTAACCACATCAATTTAATGTTGATCTTATTTATAAGGTTACTTCTTTTAAGTTGCATTTAACCTTAATCTCATCTGTATTTTGAAAGCTTAGGAAACATTTGCTGACATCTCTAAGGTGACCCTTTAAAACCTGTGTTTTAAAATATTAATCATTTTTAATTGCTATGATTAGCTTCTGAGCCATTAATAATAGTATTAATAGTTGATAGAGTATTATTAGTACTTAAAATCAAGTGGTTTGATCACAGTCTAAGAACAGTGTCCTCTGTCAAAATTGGTGAAGTCGTCTCAAGATACTTTGTTAACATAGGCATATTCTCAGGTACTACATAACAGTCATTTGATATAATTAAGATTCTGCAAAGTGATTATCATTGCCAAATCTACTTTTGTGAGTGGGAGATGTAATTTAGTTGGTAAAGGATTCTTCCTCATTAAGACTTAGAATGAAGCTAATGTATAGTTTTTATTAGGAATATTTTCAAACTTGAATGTGTTACTTAAAGGAGAATTAGCAGAACTGTTGAATAATTTAAAGTGTAAAATTTATGTGACATGATGTATTAACACCAAAATAAAATTGGGTGCCTGAAAGTTAAGCCTCAAAATGATTTTGAACAGAAGTTTTTCTCCTAAAACGAGCATAAATCTGCCTTGCCTACCTGGAGAACTGCTAGATGATCAGATAGAGGAAGGAATAAGAAAGAACTTTGGAAAGTATAAAAGCATCTTCTGTATTTATAATCCTGTAGTGCAGCACAGGCAACCATGCTACCGTTGTGGCATGTGAAGAAATATTTTGATGTATATGTTCTTGGTACTCTGGTCATTGATTATCTTTAGACACCATATGACAGTGTCAGATCATTACCCAGAAGGATGGCCACCTCATATGACTTTAAATTGGTGCAAGGTACAATTTTGAAACCTTATAGGAATTGGGCAGAGGCTTTAATGGGTCTTTATTAGTTATCTAGTGTTTTGTTCTTAATGAAATTTCGAAATTTAGTTTGTTCTTTTCTGTTAAGGATTGAGTACCTGAAAATTGGTATTTGGTATCGGGATGATGAAGCCATCAGTGGTAGAAAGTGAGACAAGTCAAGCAGCTGAAGAAAATTATTGTTGTGGGACTTTACAAAAGTTAATAGATTCTTTAACTTTTGATCTTCACAACAGCCCTGCCAAAGCAGGCAGGAAGGGCCTATCTGTTGTAAACATTTCATCAAATAGAAAACCACCTCAGAAAATAAGGAAGTGAAAGGGGCTATGGTTGCATAGCTAATAGGTGTCAGATAAAGACAAGAATCCTGGGTTGTTTTTTTTTCCTTTGTCATTTTCCATAATCACTTAAGTCCATTTGAAATCGTTTTGAATTTAAATTGTAGGTGTAATAATGGTCAGTATTTTTCGTCAGGCCTTGGATTAGAATTGTTGCCACTGGATGCCATGTCTCTTCTTCCTATTTTCACTAGAAATGTTTAATTTAGAGAACTATGATAATGAGCCAACACTGTTTTGAAAGATTGTATGGTGTATTAATAATGCCTTTTTATGGCATATCATGATCTATCCTGTACTTTTTAAAGATAGCCATATCCTTTCTGTCCCACAGTTACCAAGTTGAGAGAGGGAACATCTTCCATTCTTTTGGCAGAGAGCTAACAATTTACACTACTCTCCATCTACCACACAGATGATGCTGGGGAATTAGACTTGAGTTTTCTAGCTGCCTTAATGGCTCTGGTTGTATTCCAACTCTAAATCTTGGCATAGATCTAGATTCTATCCTGTACCCACTTCTTGCACTATCCATACTACATTCTCTTTAGTAATTTCGTCCAGTCTCAGCTGCTTAAAAAAAAAAAATCTCCATATGTATGATTTTATTTTCTATTTTCAGTCTTTGCCTCTCCTTGAAGTTCTAAACTTTCATATCCACTAACAACTTGATCACCTTTTCAGTATCTATAATGGGTATCTTAAAGTTAACTGGGTGAAAACAGAAGATTTGATTATTCTCAAACCTGTATCTTTCATCCAGTCTTTCGCATCTCAGTAAATACCCCACCTTCTTCCCAATTGCTGAAGCCAACACTTTAAGAACTGTTCTTGAAATCTTCTTAGTATTTAATCTAGTGGCAAGCCATGTCAACACCTGCAAAGCATTATCCCATGTAGTTGATACCCCTGCTTGCCTACCGAGCATCTATTTCCCCCTTACTCTTTTCTAACAAATCTTCTTTGTTTTTCCCTCAGGTATCTATCTGTTCACATAAGCCATGTGACTCAAGGCCAATCAACCCCATACCCAGTTCAGGTTGGGCTCTGCTTAATCTTTAGTCAGTCATAACTCCATCTCTCATACAAATGAATGGATGATGGATGGGCAGGCTTAAATAAGTATGGGCCAATAAACAATCGGCGGGGGGCATCTGGTAAAGAGGAATCCTGGCTTATGAAATAGCCACATAAAGCAAGCCTCTCTATAGGTGTGAATAAGGAGCATGTAGTCTTAATTGCTAGTGGCAGTTATCTAACAACTATTCCAGTTTGAGGCCTAAGGTAATTAGTCTGGAAGAATGATTCTTTGATAATATCATTGAGGCTGTTGTGGCACTAAATTTCCTGTAAAATAAGCATACAAATATCTTTATTTAAGACATCTTAGGTTGGGTATTTGGTTACTGGTATCCAGAAACAACTGATAAATTCAGAATCTGTCTACTCCCACTTTCTAGTATCTTAATCTAAACCACCACCATCATTCACTAGGATTTTCTGTAATGATCGCCTAACTAGTCTCCCTACTTTTACTTTTTCTGCCCTACAGTCTTTTCTGTAAAAAATGGATCTTGTTGAAATTTAGACCATGTCATCTTTAAATGTCATCAAGGACTTCTTAAAGCAGTATAAAACTAAACTCGTAAAGCCCATTATAATCGGCCTCTGCTTATCTCAGTTTACATCACTTGATTTTCAGTAATGTCTTATTGTGGTCACTTCTGAAAAGTAAATGAAAGATAAATCACTAAGCAGAAAGTCATTATACTCAATTGCTTGAATGCACCAGAGGCCTTTCCAACAGTTGGTACCTGGAAGGCTTGCCCACCTCATCCTCACAAGTCAGGTCCTTAGAAGGTCTGGCAGAGTCAGTATAGACCAGGAAATAGAGGAGATACTTTTTTTTTTTTTTTTTTTTTTAACAGAGATGACTTTTACCTTGCTTATTGGTTATAAGGCACAAATCCTTATAATAGGCCGTGTCATCTCACTGGTTGTACCTAGATAATTCAAACCTTGTATCTTTCCAGAAGATCACCAATGACTGTGAGATAGATACATATATATATTTGTTGTTGTTGTTGTTGTTGTTGTTATTGCCTGCAGTGAATGTCTTGGAGAAAAAGTTTCCGTAACTTTTTACTTTGCCCAAAATATGACATCATTGTTCATTAATTATTCAATACGTTAATTACATGAATCCTATGTTTTCAAGAGTAATCCTTAAGGTAAAATGATGTTCTCTTATCTACATTAGTGTTGATAAATGAAGATAACTTATTTAATAAGGATGTTTGAACTTTGCAGAGCTCATAATCAAAGACTCATTGCATTGTGTGTGTAGAAACCTGTGGTTGAAGTTGATAGGCTATATCCTAGTGATTTTGATGATGATATTTCCAAGTAGAGGAATGGACAGATTTTATGAAAAGAGCAATTGCTTTTCTTTGCTAGGGCTAAGAAGGTCACTATCATTAATCACAAAGATGACAATTTGTGTTTAGGTCATTTAATATTTTTCAGTAATTTCCCCTCTGGTGATTAAGAACAGGGTGTATATATCTAAATATATACACAGATAGGTAGATACAGATAGATAGATATAGATAGGCTAAATTACTTTGGCTTTGGAGACATGTATCTTTCCTCTGAAGCAGGACTATAGGAAAAACATTTCATGGGATAAAGAAGTCTTGCTAAAATGTATAAAAATTATAAGCAAAGTTTTAGATACTATTGATTTATATATTGGAGAAGTTTCTTCATATTTTACAATTTAGCTCATTAAATTAGTAAAACATTTTGGAAACTAAGTTTTCACTGATACAATAGTCTCAGTCTGTATATTACTAGTTGACATGGCATAGGGGATTAATTGCTGTTAGATTTTATTTTGTTTTTCAAATTAAAATTGCTGATAGACTAACAATTGTCTCTTTAATGCCATTGAAAGAGAGCATATATACTTTTCCTTTCCCTTGGAAAGCTTTTTCCTTAATTTTTCTTGAATGAATGAAATTGGTAATCTCATTTTAGAACTGTCACAAGGTACAGAAAAGTCTAGGATATTCAGTCAGGAATTTGATGAGTGATGTCTAATAGTATTCCTAGGAGCTTGTGGATGAAGGTGTGAGGATAGGGGTCCACACATCCCCCTTTGTTTCATTTGGACCTTTTCGACCTTTACTTGTGTTAGACATTGGGATTCAATGTAGGATTTCATTTGAAAAATCGATTTCACTGCCTTTCTTTAAAGTTTGATAACAGTGATCTAGATTTTCTATGACATTGGCAATTTCTCCTAAGTACTGCCAAGTAAGTTAGGTTTTGCTTTCTGTCCAGATTCAGGGTAAAACCACTACATACTGGGGGCGCCTGGGTGGCTCAGTCGTTGGGCGTCTGCCTTCGGCTCAGGTCATGATCCCAAGGTCCTGGGATCGAGCCCCGCGTCGGGCTCCCTGCTCCGCGGGAAGCCTGTTTCTCCCTCTCCCTCTCCCCCTGCTTGTAATCCTGCTCTCACTGTGTCTCTCTCTGTCAAATAAATAAATAAAATCTTTAAAAAAAAAAAAAAAACCACTACAT